CACCAGTGTACGGCACAGTCCACTGTTGAATACCGCTGGACAGTGTAACTTGTCCGTCATGATCCTGATTAGCGTAGTGACTACCAGGCGATGTTGGACCAAATCTTCCACTCGCACCAAGGTTGGTAAAGACGGCCTTAAAATCTTTTTAGTTAACACAAAAAGATAATATCTTTTTTAAAAATTGATCGATTCTTCGTCGTGTTGGTAACTGAGAAATATTTGTTATGTCAATTTACCGTTAATGAAAATGACGTTAATAGTCCTAAACATACTCCTTCCTCACACTAGAAGAAACAAAAAAACAACCTTTTTGAAGTTTTAAAGTTGAAATCGAATGCAGTGTTAGACTTTGCAACTGTTTTTAGTTGCAAAAGGAGAGATTAGTTTTATTGAAAAATTCCCGTTTTCAAGTCAAGGGGATTACTTGGTAATTTTGGTTGAGTTTGAGTACACCGATTTCATTCATCTATAACAATCAACATCCTTACCTTTTTTGGGAAAAAAAAGAAGGGTATCGTTTTCAGACGTACCTATGTGTATATAATATAAGGTTGTCAGAGCACTGACAGATCCCAGCTTGTTGGACGCGGTACATCGGTACGTACCAGAATCTTTAAGATCAAAGTGTGATATATCTAGAGTTCCATTGCTGACACTTGTTCTATCTTGTGGTAACGGGACAAGTCCTCTTGACCAAACTATTTTTGGCGAAGGAAATCCAAACGCTTGGCAGGAAGCAGATGCCTTTTTACCTCTGTTGATTTTAATGACTCTGTTTGGAGTTTTTGTGAATCGTGGAGGAACTGCGGAAAGCAAAGAAAAAATACGTTTTTATCGAAGTTCACTTAGAAATTCTTAAAAATCTTGGCTTACTTTCTAAAGAATAGGAAAAACGAGTAAAAGAATTGAGGATCGAACTGCTTGATTTAGTGAGCATTCCAAATTTTGAACTGAAATCCAAAGATAAAGTTCAGGTCAAATAGTTAATTCCTTAGGAAGTGTTCTAGGGGACCTCGGTGGTAAAATCAAACGCTGAAGACAAAAGAAACAAAATCATAATTGCAGTAACGATAAGAGAAAAAAAAATGCAGAATATGGACCATAAATAAATATAGACCTAAAGTATTTTGATCTTTAGTGTCGTTATTATTATCGTTATTGTTAATATTATTTTTAAAATAATTATCATCATCATTTATCATAACCATTATTGTTATTGTAAAATCTATTATCACTATCATCACCACTATTATCGAACTTATTATAATGCATAAAGTTACCGTGACTCCTCAGTATTGCAATGCGCATCATCAGGCTCACAATTGCAGACTGTAACAAACTCTATTCATTAAAACATGCTTACCTTCCACAAAGAGCTTCACCTGCTTTTGCACCTCACCCAATACGTTCTTGGCCGTGCAAACATAATTTCCCGAGTCATTATATGTAGCTTTTGTGATTTCTAACTTATTATGTCGGCTTGAAATTGGTTTCGTATCACCTGTTTTACTCCAGGTGACGATAGGCATTGGATTGCCATTAGCCGAGCAATAAAACGTGGCAGTTTGGTTTTCAGTAACAGTGTCT